ATAATAATTTATAAATTATCAAGGGCTCATGAGGGAGTGGGGAGTGGGGAGGGAGGGAGTGGGGAGCGGGGAGGGAGAGAGGGGAAAAATGAGGACCTAATGCCGGGGGCTTAAGTGGAGAGAAATGTTTTGAGAATGATGAGGGCAGTGAATGTACAAATGCACTTTACACAATTGATGTATGTATGGAATCTGATAAGAGTTGTATGAGCCCCTAATAAAATGATTTAAAAAAATATTGGTCTGTCTTATTTTATCAATGGGGATGGTTACAGTAGAAAAAACGAGCTAGCTACTCAAACAGAACAATGGGACATCGTTTAATTTAAAAATCAGGATAGATGCTGCATATATTTAATGTAATACTCTACACATAATATGATCATTTAGACTTTTGAAGAACATGGTATCAGGATTGGAGAAAAATCACATTAATAAACTGATATACAAAGACATATATTTCTTTCTGAAAGTGCAGAGAATGGGAAGAAATTACTAATGAAGATCCAACACTATAGATTGAGTATTGATTACAATGCAGCACAAAGAAAATAAAAATCCTCACAAGTGAACCAATAAGCACCATCCTAACAGTTTGAGCATCACCTAAAGTCAGTTATTTATATATTATTTGGATACATGATCAGTATCCTTGGAAAAAGCTGTCAAGAAATGAAAACACGCACACACACACACACACACACACACACACACACACAAAGAAATCAAAACACGTATTTTATTGGGCAAATCTTCTGCAAAGAACCTACTTAAAGAGTTGAAATCAAGATTTCAATTGGAACTAAGATTATCTTGGTTCAAGCTATTATATTTTCATTATCCTCTATGTATTTGCTTTAATGTTCAATGAATTTAAAAAGTGTAAATTAATTCATTTGAATTTTGTGGTATTGGGGCAGAATACTGAATATACCACAGACAGCAAGAAGAATAAACAAATCTATCTTGAAATAAGGAGCCTGGTGGCATACTGGGCTGCTAAGAGCTAGATCAGTAGTTTGAAACTTCAGCCATTTAACGGCTGATGAGGCTTTCTACCCCCAGACAGAGCTACAGTGTAGGAAGCCCACGGGGAGGGTTCCACCCGCTCCTTTAAGGTTTCGATGAGTTGGAATCGCTTCTATGGCAAGTGGCTTGTATTTTCTGGTTTGTTCTCTTGGGAGAAGTACAGGACAAATGCTATTAAAAAGCAAAGATGGTAAGGGATCATCCCACATACATGGGTGTGTTACAGGAATGGAATCATGCAGAGAAAAGGACATGTTGGTTAAAAACAAACAAACTAAGTAACAAAAAACAGAACCATCTTCAATGGCTGTATTTAACAATAGTGCCATAATAGGGTTAATTTGTCAGGCATTGTGAAGCTAGCGCAAGACTGGGCAGGGTTCCTGCTGTTGTACAAAGGGTCATTATCAACAGGAGTGCTTCTAGGGGGCACATCACCACCATCAATAAAAGTAATGAAAACAAATATAATGAATAGGGAATTCCCACATATTGACCAACTGGACACCTTGTCATCAGACTCATTTATTGATGAGGCAAAGAAAGGACTGAATCCATAATCACTATAACCATTTTTAGAACTCTATGTAAATGTTTTGCTGCCTGAAGGGAATAAAGGAAACTGTAGGGATGGAACAGGGCAACTCCCAATGACCTGAAAATCCATACCCTCTGGTAAGCTTCATATCCAGACTGCTCAGGAATTTCTGTTCCCCATCACAATGAACCAAGGCCCAAACTGGGAAGTTTATGCCTTATATCCCTGTATAACCAGCTCCCAGTCATATAAGGAAGATCATCATAGCAATCCAGTGCCTGAAACCACATTTATATTTGATAGCGATAGAATGCTTCATAAAGCTGGTTACTCGGCCCCTGCCTCTGCCATGCCTTTACCTTAGGGAGGAACTTCACATCTTGGGCATAGTTTTCCTAATAATTCCTTTCTAACCCTACTCTGTATGATACAAATACCCCAGGTCTCTATAGTACTCACCATTTTGTAGCTGCAGCTTTTAGATGCCAAATCAATGCTCTCTCTACATACAAGCAGCAGAGCAACTAGGAAGTCTGGAGCCCGGTGAATGAATTTTGTTCACACGGCAGTCAGACATTGAAATCCTTCCTGGGGATTAGACTGGACTGTATGTCTGTGTACCACTGACCTGAAATAGAATAGGAAACAGTGTCGAATAAGGCGTGTCAGGTTCGTGGCCTGTACTGTTTCCCCTAAATAGTGACCATTCCGCCTCCTAGACTCAGGAGCATGCTCTACTCGGATGGTGTTTGCAATGAAGACAGAGTCCACTCTATCCTTACAGACCACATTCCTCAGCCCCCCCCACCCACTGTCGTTGACCTTCACATCTCAGAGGATGAATGGATTCTGAATGAAAACGGTGAAACTGGATTACTGCACAGATTTTGTGGTTAAATGTTTAGGTTGAGGGTTGACCTATGTTGTCACAGGGCTGGAATTTGATAACAACTTAGGTGAATTTTCAAGTAGAATATATGTTTTTAGTTTAAGTCAGTGAATTTATTATGACACAAGTTTTTACTTCTGTACTACTAAAACACTGCACTGTGTATCAAAGCTAATTTAGAGAATTAGGGTATGCGATCAGTGCTTCTGGTTCCTGTTATTTCCTGTGCACTTTTCAACTACAAATTCTTCTCATTTATTTTATTTTTTATTATGTATATATATTTTGGTGATTATGTGACTGAAACACCAACATTCCTTTGTTTTCTAGAAATCTGGGAGAATTTAAAAAGACATTTTCCCTAATATTTTAATCATAATTTTAAAAAGCAGAAATTAATTATATGTATTTTAAGTAGCAATCACACCCTGTTCCTGTTTATTTCTTCCTCACTACCTCACAGCTATTTTCTATTATTTTATTTCTTGATTTCAATATAAAAGTTCCTCTCTCCACTCTCTGTCATGATTTACAGTTCTGTGGCTCATCTTTTTACATATATCTCACTTTACTAATTTCTCTATCATAATTTACTTTTAATCCACATCTTATACACATATTACTTGTTGCTAGAATAACATGGGAGTTTTAAAGATATGAATCATCTCAAGCCCCATTGAAGATAAGTATGTTTTCACCAGATATCTAATTGAAGGACTATTTCGTGAAGAACGGACTTTACCAGCCCACACTCCACCTCCGTGCGTGACCCTCGACATGTTACGTTAACGTGGTCAAGCTGAATAATGCTCATCTATTCCACTCCACCCATACTGCGCTCCTCATCAAAATTTATCCTGCCCCAATCCCCTTGTGTCCCATAGATAATATACTCTATATTGTGTGTGAAGAAATGCCTATGGTTGAGGGAGCCCTTCATAAGCCCACAGTAACATGCACAGTTGAGTGTGGTATTCAGCCAAACTTGATTTAGAGGTGGAGGATAAGAGATAGGGGGACACGTGCAGAAAGTCCTACCTTGTCCAAAGCAGAGACCACCTTAACTAGAAAATAAGTCAAGAGGGATGTTTATTTTCTACTCTTCAGCTCATGTTTTTAAGGTTTTCCAAT